ATTGTCGAGTTTCAGTGCGGGTCTTGACTTCGGTTGGGGTGGGGATGTCTGTAAACGTGGTGGATGAAAGTGCATGTGCGGCTGTTGGCGTTTCCTTGTAGTCCGCCTATGTTGCAAACCCGGCTTTAGAGGCGGACCTGGGGGGAATCGAAGGGTGGGGGGGGCCCCCCCCCCCTTGAAAGGCGGACCGAGACATAACCGGCCCAAACTCTTGCACTTGCACCGCTCGCCCCCTAATACTTGCTACGCAAGGGGGAACTCAGGTAGCTCACCGCTACCTTTCGAGAAAAACCGAAAAGTCGATGAATTGATCGTGAATTGTATCTTCTTGTTGTGTGACAGAAGAATTAAGCATCATTTGGCAGTTCTGGCGGCTCTGCTTGCTTTGACGCTGTAAATGACTTGGAGAGAGCTCGTGAGGTAGTTTTGATCCTTAGCCCTCCAAGAGTTGCAGCAGAAGGTGGCATAGCCTGTGGCTACATTTGTCAAAGAGTTCAAATTGTTGGGTCGATAAATATCTCAGGAAGGAATGAAACATCCTACCTGCAACATTTCCTCACAGCTTTCCTTTTTCACACAAACTTCACCCCGAACCCCTTGAAGATCACCCTTCTTGCCACATCAGCCCCCAAAACTGTCGCTCATTCCCCGACACCAGCGGGCAGGCATTCAGCCGCAAGCGCCTCAGCTCCGCCGTCTCCGATGTTGTTGGAGTGGAGCCAGAGGGTCTGCAAACTTCCGTTGCTCTTAAGGCTTGCAGCCAGAGACTGGCCGCTCGGCGGCGTGGGGGAACACTTGGGATCGACTCCTCTCCCCACCTCCCCAAGCATAGAACACACATCAGGGGAAATCTGCACTGTGGCTCTTCCCAAACCAACAACAAGTGGACGGAATCACCCTATCATCTTTCAAAGACAGTTTGCAAAGTACGGGTTAGAGTGTCCACTACGCGATCACTGGAAGGTGTTTGGCTCTTTGAATGACCTAAGAGAGCTTATATATGCTGTTGCTCAATCCACTGTGGTGGCACAGCTTCTGACCAAACCACTCCCGGCCAATGCCCCACAATTCTATAACATTTCACATTTTTCCACTCTTCACATCTCACAAGGACGGTGTGAAGCATGGCAGGCCCACAACAATTTCATTCAGATTTTTGAATTCAGATGAAATCTTGCCTCTTTTACCTCGTACCTAAAGCTGGTTTCAGTATCCAACACCTCTGCCAGTTTTGCTCAAATTTGGGAGGAGCTACAACTGTTTGGGGTCTATGGTGGTGCACATTTTTTTCCTGACCAGCAACTGGGTGGACTTGGGGAGACCCAGAAAAACCGAAAAGTCGATGAATTGATTGTGAGTTGTATCTTCTTGTTGTGTGACAGAAGAATTAAGCATCATTTGGCAGTTCTGGCGGCTCTGTTTGCTTTGACGCTGTAAATGACTTGGAGAGAGCTCGTGAGGTAGTTTTGGCCCTTAGCCCTCCAAGAGTTGCAGCAGAAGGTGGCATAGCCTGTGGCTACATTTGTCAAAGAGTTCAAATTGTTGGGTCGGTAAATATCTCAGGAAGGAATGAAACATCCTACCTGCAACATTTCCTCACAGCTTTCTTTTTTCACACAAACTTCACCCAGAACCCTTGAAGATCACCCTTCTTGCCACATCAGCCCCCCAAACTGTCGCTCATTCCCCAACACCAGCAGGCAGGCATTCAGCCGCAACCGCCTCAGCTCCGCCGTCTCCGACGTTGTTGCCCTCGAGATAAAGACGACTCAAATTTCCGTTGCTCTTAAGGCTTGCAGCCAGAGCCTGGCCGCTCGGCGGCGTGGGGGGAACACTTGGGATCGACTCCTCTCCCCACCTCCCCAAGCATAGAACACACATCAGGGGAAATCTGCACTGTGGCTCTTCCCAAACCAACAACAAGTGGACGGAATCACCCCGTGGCGCAAATGATCCCTTCAAAAATCATCTTTCAAAGACAGTTTGCAAAAAAGGACAACGATCACGCGCCTGAATTTCAAACATGCGATCACTGGCAAAAAACAAACTGGTTCGTTTGTTCCACACCGATTTGCACACACGCAACAAAAGGAATCTGTAGTGTATGGCACTCTCTGGCTCTGTTCTTTGCTCCGTGAATGACCTAAGAAGGGCTTATGCCGCTGCTCAATTCACTGTTGCCGAACTGTACAGCCGAACAGCTTCTGACCAAACCACTCCCGGCAAATGCCCCACAGTTCTATAATATTTTACATTTTTTCACTCTTCACATCTCACAAGGACGGTGTGAAGCATGGCAGGCCCACAGCAATTTCATTCAGATTTTTGAATTCAGATAAAATCTTACCTCTTTTACCTCGTACCTAAAGCTGGTTTCAGTATCCAACACCTTTGCCTCTTCTGCTCAAATTCGGGGTTCAATGAATCTAGCACTCAGCCTTAAATTCTTATTTAAGATCCCCCATGTACAGCGATGCTTTGCGGCCGACTTTATACAGAATAGCCTGGTATAAACTGGAACGGCCACATGATTGGAGTCTATAAAGTGGAAATCCAACATGTCTTGGCTATAAAGTCACAAACCAACGTTGTATAAAGTCGCCTGGCCACGTAAAAACATAAAAGTCGATGTGGGTTTTTGAGGGTAATTGTCAACGCTTCCCGTTACTATAAAGTGAGATGCCGAACATCCAGATAGTAGTACTTGTGTCGAACAGTGGCACTATAATGTGGATTCCTACTAAACAACGATCGTTGTAATATCGATGGTTTTCTTAATTACGTCGATGGAAGGATCGACATGGTTGTGTATAAAGTTGAGGGGCCACGTTCAAACTTTGTGGGAATATCATCGATCTCATCAATGGGGAACCCAAGAGACATCGAAACCGAACGAAGCCGACAGCCAGTCAAATATCAATATCGAAGTTGTTAACAATATCGATGTATTCGCACTGCGTCTGAATACTTTCAGAAAGCAGGAATATTGAATGTACTTGGGTTCTCATCTCCGTTTTTGGGAATTTAAATGGTATTATCCCCGTTGGTATGCATCTAAATGGTCTCAAAAGGAAGGTATATTGGATATACCTGGCCTTCTTGCCATATCTCCAGCAAAGTCCAGCTACCCAAACCGCCGCTATGTGGGAGGAAAGATCACCTTGTCAAGACCACTATTTCTCTGCAGCAACTCAATCCCCCATTCTCACTCTGAAGATTCGCCATTCCGGACTCCCACCCGGACCACTCCGCCGCAAAACCTGAGCCAGTCCAGCAGGGGTGCCTCGGCACCCTCGTCCCCGATGTCGTTGTTGTCAAGGTCAAGCCTTTGCGTCGTGCTGCTTTTCAGAGCCTCCGCCACGACCTGTGGCAGCTCCAACATGCCCCAGTTGCAAAGGATTTTCCACCGGGTCGCAGATCTAAATTGATGTTTTCAATGGTGGAAAACTCGGGATGGGAAACAAACCCCAAATATCACCATGCGAACCACTCCTTCCATTGAAACTGCGAGCTGTGAAACAGTTAAGCACGTAACCACCCCTTTTTTCAAAGATAGTACAGATGTCTCCAGCTGGCAGCTCCATGCCTTGAGGCCCCTGCTAGCAAGGATGACACGCACATGGATGACAAGCACCCGCCGAATGCAACTGGGCATTTGGCTCAAGACCTGAGGCCTGAAAAAAGGTACAAGCTGTTGCTTGGCGGCCGACTGTGTTTCCCTTGGGTTATGAGCCCAAACCCGTTGCCTTAGCGCCATGTTGGAACGTCGGCGCGCTTCGCAGCGACAGGCAGAAGCTTCTGCCGGTGAAACCGCAGAGGAAATGTTGGAGAGGTTGCAGGATGAGCTCAACGCTACTCCAACTACAACTGCAGCACCGAAAGCAGCGGCTCATGGCTCAGAGTTTCTGAGCGTCAGTGGTGCCTCGACTAGCACCGTGGTGGGTGGCGCCCAAGCGGGTGCTTTGGTTGAAGGGCCGACGGCCTCCGGGGCTCTCCTCCCGTTGGAACCGTTGAAGCCACTGGGACCAGCGAGCTTTGCTGGGTTGGAACTCGGAGATGAAGCACCAGGTGTTCGACGAGTGGTTGTCCTTGAAACTGGCGATGGTGAACATCATGCACAGCGTGAAGAACCTCGAGAAGCTGCAGATCTACGACACCCTGTTGGTTCCCCGACTGCACTTGGTCCTACGGTTGCTCGGCGAGAAGATGGTCAGAGGACTGTAGATGGTAGTCATGTGGTTGGTGGTAACCCTAATGGGGATGGGATCACTAGTAGTGCCTCGAAAGGGGATCGGGTTGTGCTGATGGGATCTAGTCCAGGGGATAGGAAACTCTGTAGTCCAGCTAGTGTAGAAAGACCTCCGGGGTTGTTGCAGCATGGTGGGCCGGAATCCCAAATGGTGAAAAGACCAGATAGTTTGCCGGAAGCAAGCGCTTCTGCTGGTGTTCAGCTGAACCCGTTTTGGAGCCCTGAGGTGAAAGCAATGGAAAGGTTGAGAGGCGAAGGTTGGGGAATAGGACAATGGGTTGAACCAGATACCCCCCAAAAACAGCATGTAGAACTTGACCCCACTGAACTTTTTCGTATAAGGTGCTTGCGGGAAGCTGAAGAAAAATTTCGGCAAGGGCTGTTGATGATGAAGCAGGATCAGGGGTCCCAAGCTTCTTTTGCCTCGGCCGAAGAAATTCCAGAGACGGGCGGACCGAAACCGCCTCCAGGACCACCGCCAGCTTCACCGCAGAAGATGGATGGAGTGAGTAGTGGAAGTGGTGGTCGACCGCCACCGCCTCCGCCGCTCCCTGTTCCTCCTTTTCCAGTGGAGCCCGCTGGGGTAAGTCGGGGAGCCGGCTTTCTGGGAGAGAATCCGAATGAGACCTTGAGAACCTTTGAGCTACCTCGGCTCACAGTCGACACGACGGCCCTACATTTCGGGGACTGGTTGAGTATGGTGGATTCCCAAATGGGAGATCTGTCGTATTCCTCCAACCTCTGGTGGGGTATGGTGAAGTCTGCGGCCGAATCATGCTATGGGGAGTGGTTGAGATCGGGTCCGCTGGAAAGACTTAGGCTTAGACCAACCCTGGATGCCAATGCAAGTCTCTGGCCTCGAACTGAACGCAGAGCTGTGGCGATGTTGCTACAGGCCATTCCTAGTGCTATTCGAGATGACCTGGTGTCGTCAAGAAGGATGACTTCAGAACAGATCATCTTCAAATTGATGGTCGTTTACCAGCCTGGTGGGGCAGGTGAGCGCACCAAACTCCTTCAGGCCATCACTGGTGGTATGTTTGGAGAAACCATGACTGAAGTGTTGGAAGGTATCCGACACTGGAGAAGAAATGTGAACCGAGCCTCTGAATTGGGGGTGACTCTGCCTGATGCGTTGGTTTTGGTTGGAGCTCTGCAGCGGGCTTCGGACTTTTTGAGCCAGAAATCACCACAGGTGGCATATCGTTTGAACATGATACGCCAACAACTCAATGTGGATCACCAACCCACAAAGGACACGGTCATGTCGTACTCAGAACACCTCCAAGCGGAGGCCGAAGAGTTGAATGTGAATTCTCAAGGCCTGGGACTGGGCCAACCTACCTCCAAGAGTGGGGGCGGGAAGGTCAACGTTAAGTCGTTGAATGGACCAAGCCCGGGCGCTCCAGCAAACAAAGCTCAGCATGATGGTGCTGACCAAGGCGACAAGGCTGGGAAACCAGCTGGGGGGTCAGGCATCACAGCGGCTAATGCGGGATCAGTTACGTCGTCAATGGCGTGCAAATTTTGGGGCACTGAGAACGGCTGCCGCAAGGCGGACCAATGTCGGTATGTTCACTCGGTCTTGAATCCGAAGGACAACCGCTGTTTCAAGTGTTCCGCTGTGGGGCATTCTAAGAAGGATTGCCCGGTGGGGAAAAAGAAGATTGCCAAGACAAAGGTGGAAAAGGATCATGCCAGTAGTTCTGCATCCGCTGCCAAGGGCGGTGCGGAAACTGCAGTGAAGGCTGAGCCCAGTCGTCACACCACGTACCGTGAAGAAGGTACTCCGACTAAACCGTTGGAAGACAAGGAGGGTGTGGACGATATGGTGCAGGATTGCAAATCCGTTTTGAAGGTGATCGTGCCGGTCATGAAGACCATCTGTGCCAAGGGGGCTTTGTGTAAGGCTGCCAGCGAGATGATTGAGACCGGTCTCCTGGATGGTGGGGCTACCAACCCGTTGAGAAAGGGGTCCAAGGAAGAGATCGAAGCGGCAACATTGGTTGACGTGGAGCTGGCAACTGGATCTGTCCAGTTGTACCAGAATATGTCTACCGGAGTGCTGCTTTCGCCCACCGAAGTGGAACCGATCGTTCCGCTACGGGGTGTTGTGGCGTTGGGCTACAAAATCCGATGGGATTCGCGGGGGTGTGTCATCTCACATCCAGAGGTGGGTCGCATCTCTTGTTGGTTGAGAAATGGATGTCCGGTAGTGAGGAAGCAACATGCGCTTCAACTCATCAAAGAGATTGAGGACCAAGAAAGGTTCAAGAGATTGGGTCCGAAGCTGGCCGCGGGGCAGCTTTCGGCGGAAGAGCGTCAATGGTGGAGTCAAAGGTACCCGGATGTTCCGGATTCAGTTTTGGAATTCATGGTGGGGCAGAATGCTGGAATGCCAAAGGGAGAAACCCTACCGTGGAACCGCCGAGTGCGCAAGCGCCTGCGGAAGGCGAAGGGGGTTATAATCCATTTATTTGCAGGCTCGAGGCAGTCTGCTCGAGAGTGGCAGAAGGGATGGCCTCCTGGAATCGAAATACTCACGGTCGACACGGCCGACAGTGATCAACAGAATCTTCACCGACCAGAGGTTTGGGCCTTTCTCGCACATGTGGTGCGAACACACCCAATCGTGGCAATCATTGGCGGCCCGCCATGTCGGACAGTGAATGGCTTACGAGCACTTCAGCCCGGACCGCAACCACTGAGAGATCGGTGTGAGCACAGGTTCGGGCTCCCAGGGCTGAGTGACCAAGAACAACACAAGGTGGATGGAGACAGTGCTCTTCTGCTAAAACAGGTTGGGTTACACCGGCTGGCCGAGGAATCCAAAACGGATGACAATCCGAGGGTGGGATTCTTTTTGGAGTCGCCGGAAGACCCTGCCATGTGGGCAAATGAAGCGAATTCTCCAACCTTTTGGGTATGGCCGGAAGTCACTCAACTCCTAGAACAACCTGACATGCGGTTGATATCGTTTGATCAGGGTCGGTACGGACATGAGAGGGTGAAACCAACCTCTTGCCTGTCCAATCTTCCGCTTTTGGAGGACCTGGATCAAGCGCGCTGTGAAAGACCGCAGGGAAAGGTCTTGCATCCAGAAATTCCAGAGAGGGTCAAACAGACCGATGATTGGTCTGCATGGGCCCCAGGACTCAAACACGCCCTGAGGGTGTCTCTGAATCTGTTGATCCATCAATGTGGATTAGCGGACGACCAGTTGAAAAAGGCTTTGAGCCGTCAAGAATGGAGGACTCACATCCTTCAAGGCCATCGACCGTACAGGCGCGACTGTCGTGCTTGTGTGCTAGATATGGCGGCAGGACCACCCCATCGCCGGCGAATGTATTCTGGAACCTCGGCATGGTCACTTGGAGTAGATGTGGTTCTGTTTGGGGAAACAAAAGATTCCATTTCTGGGGATCAGGTCAAATATGCGGTGGTAGCCACCGCCTTAGTTCCGGTATTCGATGAGGATCACCAACCTCCGCTCCAAGAGCCGCCCACGGAAGTGGTGGAAGCGCCAGATTGGGGGGAGGGTTTGGAGGAATCTGAGTTCCCATTGGAGGGAGAAGAAGAATCTGGGTCACCAGAGCTCGGCGACGAAGTTGCGAAGGCGTCCCCTGATCCAGCCAATGCTCCGGGGGCTGACCCTGAAAATGGGGGGGAGGCATCCCCTGAGAAGACAGGTGACTGGGTTGATGAGGAGATCAGCAAGTGCAGCCGACCTCTGAAACTCAAACATGTGACCATGGTAGAACCGGTTCAGTCGCGATCTACCACCGTAGTGCTCAACGCGCTATCACAATTGGTGGTTCGTATGAAGTCATATGGCATCAATGTGAATCGTCTCCACTCCGATCGTGCCAAAGAACTGATTGGTAGGCAAACAGCTGCCTGGTGTGCAAAAAATGGTCTCAGACATACCTTTGGTGGTGGCGATGACCCCGCCAATAATGGTCATGTCGAAGCGGAAATCAACCAACTGAAACGCAGAACCAGGCTTTACCTGCGGAATGCTGGGTTTACAAACGATGAGTGGCCCACCGCTCTCCGGTACTCAGCCGAAGAGAGAATGAGGGTTCAATTGAGTGCCCTGGGCGTTACCATGATGCCCATGCTTCCGTATGGTGCCTCTGTGGTTGTGAAAAGGAAACGATGGCATTCCCCTGGAGTACTTGCTCCTCCGTATGTCAATGCCACGCTTCTGACTGCTAGCCCCAATATGAGTCAAGGTTGGGTCGTGCGGTCGGAAGCTGGGCAGGTGCTCCATGTAAGAGAGGCCATTTTGCCTGCATCCCTGGGAGAGCAGGTTGCCATGGAACTGCGGGAAGAATCGGCTGATTTTCCGCAACTGGAAGAACGAGATGACAATGGAGCGGTAGCGGAACCCTCACGACGAAGGCTCGTGGGCAAACAGCCGCCGTCCAGGCGGTCAGGGATCGCTTTGCCAGACCGCGAAGCTTATGGTCCTGTTCAACAGTTTGTTGTAGACTCAACCGTCAACAGGGATGACTTTGAACAAACGGGGGAGGCACCAGCGCAATTAGGCTTCTTACCAGCCGAGTTGCCAGCGGATGCGCCTTACTCTCCTAGTTTGGGCCCTGAAGACACTGCAGCCCTCGAGCTCCCGGAGGTTGCCTCTGGGGGGAGGGTCTCGGCACTCGAGCTTCCGGAGGTTGCCTCCGGGGGGGAGTCTCTTTCGGCGCTGAATGTGCCTGACTTGGAAAAAATTATAGTGAGAAAAATCCGCAAGGAGGAAGCGGAAGGGGCTCTGTTGGGAAGCCACAATCGGCTTCTGATGGGTTTGAGTGAAGCATTGAGACGGGTCCCAACGAGTGAACAGGAGGGACTGGAATACGGAAAACAGCTCCGTTACATGCTTCAAGATCGCCTGGAGCTGGAAGAAATGCTCCAAGTGTTGTCAAAACTGCAAAAGGCGGACATGATTCGACTGTGCGGACTGAGAACGGAGGGGATCCCGAAGAATGGTGAAGGGGATCAAGAAGAAGTTCTTCAGTCCACCACAGTGGCACTGGAAGAAGTCAGAAGGGATTTGGCCGCTTGGACTCCTGCAATGCAGGGGGAATACAATAGCCTTGTGAAGGAGACTCAAGCCATCGAGCCGGTGTCGGTTTGCGACCTGGAAGATGAGCAGGTTGAGTACGTCCCAGGAAAACTGGTGTGCGTACGCAAGGCGGGGAAAAATGGTGGACGGAAAAAGTGCAGAGCAGTGATCTGTGGAAACCTGCTGGACAGTGCCTGGGATCCAGCGCCCAGTGGAGCATACGCTTCAGGGGCGGATGGAACAATGATCCGAGCTGTGATCAACCATGGAGTCCAACGAAACTGGGGGGCATCTGTCACAGATATACGCACAGCATTTCTGCTCGCACCACGTCCAAAGCCTGAAGGTGGACGAGAGGTCATAGTCGTACCGCCAAAGGTGATGATACAAGCGGGAGTAATCCCGGCCACCGAAAGGTGGAGAGTGCACAAAGCACTTTACGGGTTCACCTCGAGCCCGGCGCATTGGTCAGCGCACAGAGATCGAACGATGAAAACCTTTCAATGGCTGGAAGATGAATGCAGGTTTTACCTTCGCCCGACGGAGGAAGCAAATCTCTGGAAGATTTGGAAGGTTAAGGCCGCGGAAGAAGGCCGTGAAGAAGCAACTGAGCCGGAATGCGTGGGACACATCATTGTCTATGTGGACGATCTAATGGTGTGGGCTGAACGGTCAGTGCGACTTGGTTTCCTAAACAGGGTAGAGCAGGAGTGGAAAATTTCTGCCCCGGAACATGTGGATGACCAGAAATGGGTCCGGTTTTGCGGTTTCGAGCTGAAGTGGGCGGATGAAAATCGCCTCCAGGTAGCACAGCCTTCTTACACCAGAGATCTCCTGCAGAGACATGGGGTGAAAAACAAAAAGGCCGTGCCAATGTCCAGGATAGAGGTGCCAGAGGCCTTGGAGGAATCCGTGACTGCGGAAGAAATCAAGGCTGCTCAGGCACTGACGGGGGAACTACTCTGGCTTGCTACACGGAGCCGACCAGATCTGAGCTTTGCCGTGGCGCAGATGGGACGTCAGGTATCCAAGCGACCGCGGTGGGCGGTTCAGGTGGGTCAAGGAATCTTGGAGTACTTGGCTGGAACTCCTGACTTGGGATTGATGTACGAAGGAAGGCAGGGCGACAGGGGGCCGGAAGGCAACTTGCCGATCCCTAGGCACGAAAAACTGATAGAATCCTTCAGTGACATCAGTTTTGCACCACAAGGAGAAAGGAGCCTGCAGGGGATTCTCACCTGCGTGGGCGGAGCACCGCTCTTGTGGGAAGCAACAAGACAAGCTTTTGCCACGTTGTCCACAGCTGAGAGTGAGCTGGTCGGGTACGTGGAAGCTATGGTGATGGTTCAGTCGGTAGAGGCTTTGCTGCAAGTGATATATGGTTCACAGCAGTTTGAAAAAGTATTATATGGTGACAACACGTCTGCCATATCAATATTACAGCAGCCCGACGGGCCCTGGAGAACCAGACATTTGAGACTTCGGTCCCACTGTCTTAAGGAAAAACTCCGCTCCGAAAAGGGAGACTGGAAGATCCGACACCTCAAGGGGACGGAACTCATAGCGGACTACTTAACCAAACCTATAGTAGCTAAAGGGGCTTGGGAGAGGTTTTGGAAATTTTTGGGTACCCACAAATCCCGATGTGACCCGGTGGCTGAGGATGAACCACTAAGGAACACTGAGGTCGGTGACCGAGAGCCTGAGAACCAAGACTTCTCGCCTGATGTGGTCGCTGCCCTAAGTCTCTTTTTCTATTAAATTTAGTTTTTGGCTAAATTTAATTAAATTGCAAAATTTAGTTTACTAAACTAGTAAATTGTCAACTAAAGTAATTTTTTGGCAACCGAAGAAAATGCATGCTTTTTTGCTCAAAATGCATGTCTTTTGTTCTTTGGTTATCTTGTTGTGATTGGGGAAAGCACAACAAGCAAAGTACATAATTTCCAAAATGAACATGAAAGACTTGGGATTTGTACACAAAAAGATTCATCCACAAGCTACAAATAGTGCTGCCAATCTGTTGTTCAATACATACATTGATATGTAGACCAATGATCTTGCACAAGTAAGAATAAGCAAAGAAAGAAAACCACATATCTCAAGTAAGTTATATATATATATACATATATGATAGGATATGGTATGGTTTGACACAAGTATCACACAATTGCTTAATAGGACATCAACCATTGCATGGACAATGGAATGGATTTGACCTGAAGGTCACAAGTTGTTTGTTCATCCAGGTTTGTTTATGAAGTCAAAGGACTGAAGTTGCTCATCAGCTCATAGTTTGAAGCATCAATGATATTAGAATGAAAAGCTTAAACTATGTATAGTTCATAGTTGTTTGAAACAGACTTTTGTGCCAAAGTGTGATCTCTTTCCATCAAACGCATGATTTTTCTTCTATAAATATATATAATTTGTACAACATTTGGTATGTATTCTATATGCATTTTATATGCGTTTTATATGCTTTTTATATGCACTTTTTAAAAATGCATGCATTTTTGAGAAAAATGCATGCACTTTTCTCAAAAATGCATGCATTTTTAAAAAGTGCATATAAAAAGCATATAAAATGCATATAAAATGCATATAAAAATCATATATTTTTTCAACTGTTTTGTATTTATTTTTCATCAAAACTTAAACCCAACACACATTTTTGGACGCTTCTATACTGGCATTCTTGTGCTGAATTTGTTTTGCTGGATTGGCTTTGCACACTATTGCAAGTAAACAATTGAACTTATGGATTGCATACCCTAAAAAATATAGTTACTTATGGGATCTTATGGGTACTTATGGCCACACCTGAATAGATTTTACTTGAGTCACATGTAAGCTCAGGTAACTACAACTAATCACAAGTAAACTCAAGTAACTACATAAATGTCCAAAAATTACTGGTGGAAAAAATCTCAAGTAAAAATATCTCAAGTAAAAATATTCAGCAGCAGTGAAGCACAGTCCCAAGCCTCAAATCATGTCGTTCTTCTAGTTAGTGTTTCAAAAATTCACAAAAATTACAAATACAATCGCTGAGCATAAGCAATGAAACATGCACAAAATGTGCTAACTCTTAGAACAAAGTAACTAGTTTTTACAATGTGAAAATCATGCCCTAAAAATTTACTAGTACTACTAAATCAATTTACTAGTACTACTAAATCAATTTACTAATGCTACTAAATTTCATTTACTTTACTATTTACTAGGAAATTTACCTAAATTTCGTCTACTAAACCACGAAATTTACCTAAATTTTAAGTCTACTAAATTTAATAGAAAAAGAGACTTAGGGTGGTGCCGAGTTGGAATGGCGCGAGACGGAGACCGCTGACGAGCTCAAGGTGAAGGCCGCTACGGTAGTTTCTTCCTTGAAAAAATGGGCCAAAGTACCCATCGTAGGTGAGGTGACCGAAAAGGTCAAGGCTTTTGTAGCTGTGGTTTTCACTTTGGTGGTGATGTCATTGGTTGTACGGCTGAAGAGATTGGAGAATCCGGACTGGCCAGGGTTAAGTCAGCAGTCTTTAGACGACCTTTCTTCAATCTTGGAAGCTCTAGGTACCTTGGATGAGATGATCAACGAGGAAAAACAAACAAGAGCCATTGGCCGACAAGACTTTCAAGAGGTCCGGGAAAATGAACCGACCCTAAGGAAGGTAGAAGTTGTTCCGAGGGAAAATGAACCCGGTTCAACACAAGGGCTGACCCCCGAAAACCCCGAAGGAACCAAGGTTTTGGGAAGGGAAACCCCTAAGAGTTTTGGTTTGGGAACCCAAAGAGGTTTGGGGGATAGTAAACCCAGTTTTGACGCTTTTGGGAGTCGCGTGGCTAGTACTGAGAGTGGCGGTGCAGCAGAACCTTGTTCTGAACCCCTTCTTTTCGTTGTTTCGGGTTCTAACCACTGCCCTGAGGGCTGCCCCGGGTCGTTCAGAGCTTGCGCATTGCGTTTGCGCGACGCCATGGCAAGCACGACTGGTGATGGAGCTGGAGGAGATGAACCTGACGAAGACCGGCCGGACAAGTCCTGGGTGAAGGGCGACTATGAGCCGGAGCCTTCGAAGAAGAAAAAGAAGAAGAAGGGCAAAGGGCACCGACATGAAGGTGAAGGGGAAACTGCGGAGGATCAGTTGGAGTCCTTCAAGAGAGCCAAAAAGGAGGAGCCAACCCCCGTCGCAGTACCTGCTGAGACCCGCTCCGAACCTTCAGCAGACACCGAAGATGACTGGGGAAAGTGGAGAGGAAATAGAGGGGACCGAGAGCCAACTGAAGCGCCTGAAGCTCCGGAAGCTGCTCCAGGAACGCCAGTGGTGATCTTGGGAGAAGCGGTGCCTACCACACCACCGCTATACCCCTTGGTTGATGCTGCTGAACATGGTAGCTTCAGGCCCCCGGAACCAAAGAATCCGCCGAGGACTTCTTCAACGGCGGGCTCTACGGCAACAGCTGCTGGGCCGACAACAGATGTTGGACCGACTACGGATGCTGGCCCGACAACAGATGTTGGACCGACTACGGACGCTGGGCCGACAACAGATGACGGACCTTCAAGCTCCAGAAGCTCGATGAATCTTCCTGGGCATTTGGTGTCCTACTCCGTGCGAGGTTTTGGCAGAAGGACTGTGGAATGGGGGTACTACACTCCTGAGGGTGAGCCAATGGTGATTGTGCCATCTTCACCGGATCGGTCCGAAGAGCACGAAGAGTGGACGGGAGGCCCAGCTGGGTCCGCAGAAGAGCCTGAGGAGGAAGTGCCGCCGGAAGATCCTTCGGAGAAGGAACAATCGGAAGATCGATCTGACAAGGATCGTGAGAAAAAGGAGAAGAAAAAGAAAAGGGAGGAGGAGATTGAGAGGTTGCCGGTCATCGAAAGGGGACCGCGTGATCCACCACCAGATCCTCCTGCACCTGCCTTGAAGCTGGCCGCGCTGAGGATGCCGTGCAGCACTGGCCGAGATGAAGGTCATGGTCGACGTCAGCAGGGAGAAGAAGGCCAAGCCGATGAAGGGGAACCCTGGGAACGTGCTGAGTTCCAACAGCCGCCCTCGGGAAAGAAGGATGGATGGACGCCACAGCTGAAGGGCTGGGTGATGAGAAAACATGGAACCATGCGAGAGCGAAGGTTCCACCCGCTGCACCGTGGTGTTCCGTTCGACCCCAACTGCTTGGAAGCGCTGCGGGTGACCGTAGCCTTTGGACAGGATGGTCAAAGAACTGTCCACCGAGATCGATGGTCGGATGGACCTAAGGATCTCTTTCCCACCAAGGAGTCTTGGAGGGGCTTCACGTTCTTCAAGCTGAAGAACCTGGAGGGAAACCAGGACGGTATCGGACAGGTACCTCGCTACCATGCGGGGGAAGATGGTCCTTTACCGTATGTGCCAACTCAGGAACCTTTTGGGCCTACAACGACTTCGAGCTCTACCTCGAATGCTGCGGCGGAACCTTCGAGCTCTACCTCGAATGCTGCTGTGGAACCTTCGAGCTCTACGGCTGCGGCTGCTGCTTCTGGCGCTGTTCTGCGCTGGGGCTACCGCCGAGGAGGCGCTGCTGAGAGGGGCCGAGTAGTTGTACAGGCTGGTTCTCAGACCCCGCGACCTCCCGCCAATGCCGAAGAAACTAGCGGCGAGTGGAGCGTCATAGAGGAGGTCTGAGAAATTTTTGAGTTTGTAGCACTCCAGCGCTGGGGCACTGGAGTGGGGGGAGTGCGAGCTGTGAAACAGTTAAGCACGTAACCACCCCTTTTTTCAAAGATAGTACAGATGTCTCCAGCTGGCAGCTCCATGCCTTGAGGCCCCTGCTAGCAAGGATGACACGCACATGGATGACAAGCACCCGCCGAATGCAACTGGGCATTTGGCTCAAGACCTGAGGCCTGAAAAAAGGTACAAGCTGTTGCTTGGCGGCCGACTGTGTTTCCCTTGGAAACAATATGTTGATCGTCTCCTGCTCTAGGCATCCATACTCAAATACCAGTACGTTTATTGATGGCCTATTCATATTGCCTATACCCGATACCCTTCTATACCTTTGGATATCTATTGTAGGAGTGATACTTCAAAAATAACAGTTGTGGTACGGGGCACATAATGATCCCAATATATCATATATCCCAATGGGATTTGACAAGGGCCAGTTTCATAGCCACTGGTGCGAATGCTATACACTTTCCAGTCATGCCACCTATGATGTTATTGCATGTCCATAATTCAGCACTGACTGGAAAACGAGATCAGCAAAGCAGCAATATAATTGTTTTTTGCATAGCTGAAATCAATCCCTCAAACTCATCCAAGTGGAATACAAAACCACCACTTTCCCAGCGAAGCATGGGACTCTCGACCAATCTTCCTCTTCGGGACTTTAGAGTCTCTAGAGAAGCACGGACCCTTGGACTCGCCGCGGCTTCCCACAAGGGCCCGAGCGGCACCTTGGCGCCGGAATTGCCGATCTTCAGATTCAGGTGGTTGAGATCGCACCAAGCCTTCGAGATGGGCCCCCCCAAAAGGCCGACCCCGTGAGATGCTCCGACTGGGCACCAACCGTTTCTCTACTGCGATCCTGCTCCCCGGAGCTCCGTCCCCAGCCTGCCCCGCAAACACAGCTGCCATGCCCTGCAAGGCCTTGAGCTCCACGCCACCGAGCTTATTGAGATCCTGTGCGCAGATCCCGAGATCTAAGCGAAGGAAAGCAATATATAGGTACATAGGCGTATACCTTTGGGTGAAAAATAGCAGGGCGCAGTTTTTTACACAGTATGAGCATGTATGAGCTAAAAATCTGCTAATTGCATGGTTTTTGCGCTGACTTGAAAGCTGACATCTGCAATTTGCATTGTATTTGGGTGCTCAAAGTCTGCAAAAATCTAAACACCTGAGATATCCTGAAAATAGGTTCGAGATGGTTCCAGTATGTTCAAGTGACAATTGACCAGTGACCTTCGACTTCCAATCGCTAGGATCCATATGACCTCACCGAAATGAAACATGTGTATCGAATCTCAGGAAACAAAACCTTTGCCTTCCACTATGAGTGGCGCACAGCTGACCAAGCACCTCAAGTTCATATAGCGAAGCCAAACCTTTTCAACATGCGCAACACTTCCACCTTCTCCGTTCCAAGATTCCTGAAACCTAGGTGTGCCAGAGCATTGGGTCATTGGGTCCTTCAGCTCTTCCCTCATGAAGTCGCAGCGCTGTGTCACATCCAGGAAGAAGGTCAAATGCGGCAGCATCAGCTTGAAAAGCTGCATGTCATCCGTGATTTCCGCCTGCGCAGGTCTCGGACATGAGATGAATATGACACGGTGTGTCCCTGGTGCTGAGACTGGACGCTCACGCGATCGTAATACCGTATATAAAGGGTTGGTTTGTTTTGCAACTTTCTGGCTAGTTATGCTGCGCTCTGGGATGAAACCTATGTTGTCCTTTGTTGTCCAAATGCTCAGGCGTGCGAGGCTCGGAGGAAAGACTCTGGTGTGTGACCTTGGCATGAAGGCCTTACTGACTGGAAGTTGGCACGAAACGCGGCTCGCTGCAGCTTCAACGGTGGAAGTAACATCCTTGCGGCGTGAATTTCTTTGCTACTGTATATGTAAGGATGATAGACGATAGCATTTGAGAGCTTCACAGAGGCTAGTATATGGCTACTCTTATATTTATAGCCAAAGGTAAATAAAAAAGAGCAGGGAAGGAGTGAAGCCGATTTATAGCCTCCACACTGTTGCTAGGGCTGTGCTGCGGGGAATGGGTTGGATACCATGGGGAAGGGGGAAGGGTGTTGCTGGACGCCAGGCGAAACAATAAGTACCGCTTGCTTAAGCAGTCGTGGCACAGCTGGTTGCGAGCTTGGGTAGGCACAGGGAACGATCCTTGTGGACGGGTCAAAATGAGCATAAAACAATCCACTGCATGATGCCTTTATTTTTCTCAGGGTATACAGAAGCTGGGTGGGGCGAGCACAGAAACTTCCTTGTCGATTTCACTACTTCTGTTGAAACATGTGCGCAAAAACTTTGGAAAGATATGGAAAGATGCCAGTGATTTCACAATTTCAAACTCCAAAACAACCCGTTTGCATTGTATGGGTCGATTGCAAGCTGGTGCATCAACTCATATTGAGTGCCGTAATCTGCTTGGCCTTACAAATCCTCAAAAGACAGACGACTTGATGGACCCGGCCTCTTCCCACAATGCTTTGACCGCCACAGTGTTGCCACTTCTCATGGCTTTATCGAGCCTCTTTCCCAGCGCCGGGATCGCAGCCGTGCGCACGGGCCTAAACAATAAAAAGGTGAGAACAATCTGTACTCCGGGTATGACTAGATTCAAGGCAGCGACAAAAATTGATCCGCCTTCAAAGGCCAAAAAAAGAACAGACATCAGTGCCTGGGGCACGTTCTCAATTAACAGGTGGTCGCGTTTGCTTTTTGTCACTTGTTTGTAGATTGCGGGGAGGATAATCCCTTCCCAACAACTTCCGGGCCGCTCGCCTGTGACCTTTGGGGGGATGAGCAAAACTGAGAGGTGGCTCGCGGCCAGCTCGTTAAAACAGTTTGCACCCAGTGCGTCACACGCATGTCGAACATAAAAAAAACCAGGCATGGAAGGCTAGTAGGTACGACCAGCTCAACACTCCGACGATCTTCATGAAAAGGTGCTTTGACTGCCAACAAAGCCATCCAAAAATGATATCTTTTAAAGTATCGAACTGGTCAGACAAAAACGGTGCCATGGAGGAAAATGAAGCCATGGCAAAAGCTGTGGCATCAAAGCGGTCACCCGCTTTGAGCCTCGCCACCGCCAGCGCAGCTTGGGCGATCAGGGAAACACCAGCACAACAAAACAGAAACAAATAAACTTCCCAGTCCAAGCCCAGTGTCTTGGACAGGTGTCCAGTTTCGAAGCTCCACAGACATGCAGCGAAGCTCAAAGACACAGTACCTCCAAAGCTCAATATGACCAGCCGCAATTGAGCCCTGTCGCTCAGAGCGGCAGTCTGGCCGAGCCCATGGTAGGAGCCTCGTGCTTTTAGCTCAGCTCCTACGACCATGATGACGGTCCCTGAGATAACAATAAAAAGAAACACCAGGAGAAAAACACAAAGAAACCAGTGAAGGCGTTCAGTTTTTTCCCGATCCGTCATGGCTCTGATTTCAGCAATCGTTGGTAGGAACGCTTGTGGCTCCTCAACAGTCTGAGCAGTAAAATGTCTATGCACTGCACTGTCTACCATTCCAACCAAATCTGGCAGGTTGGCCATCTCTGGTGCTGAGTCGGAGGTCTGTTTCTATCTCGGCCCCGTTGAGCTTGCAAAACTGGCCGCAGGAGGTGCAAGTACGAGTGCGTCAATTTCAAGAAGCAAGAGTCACAAGTTTCGATGAATGGAGATGTCTGAGATCTGCCAACATTAGTCATAAAGTTTGCCACAAATCAGAGGAAACTAAGCTGAGAAAGAGTCAAAACTGCGCGCAGCAAGTTACTTTTCTTCACGACTGGCCACCACTCTGTGATTCTGCAACGCTTGGCGCTGGCACACTCTTTGGATCTTTGGCACTTTCAAGGTCCTGCTATGTTGGTTGAATCATATGAAGCAACCTCGACAATACTGTTTATTTGCAAAAATGCTTGGAAGCCGTGCTGTTGGGCTGTTGGTCACTATTCTGAAAAGCCACGGGCCACTGCTCATTCCCACTATAATTGAATTGAATCATTGCAGAACCCTGAAAGCCCTCCAGAAGTTGGAAGGTCTCTTTCCAACGTAGTTATCCTTTGACAATCCCTCATACAACTCCATGAGACGACTTGAATGCACTCAACCTGAATTGCTTCGAGATGTTCACAACTGAAAACTTCCAAGCATAGCCATGTGGGGAATCCTAATGAGTAGTCTTTGCACGCCACTCTCAAGGTTCGTGAGGTCGTGATCGAGGTCACCTCCGCACCATTTAGAGCACAGTACTGAGTGGCATCGCACCTACGAGTACCTTCTTCAGTTCACTTGAACACTTGCGGAAGCAAAAACAAAACACCTCAGCCTAACAGGCCATCAGGTCTGTCTGAAATTGGTGTCTACCCTCTATGCCCATGAAATGGAGCGGCGTCTTCAAATGCCAGTGACTCATGCAAAGGATGCGCTGAAACTGTCAGCTGTTGCAACACAAGATCCAACTGCTCCATGTTCCAAACATAAACATAAGTCATATCATAATACCTCAATGATAGATTGCCCAGAGTCATGGGTCATGCTTCCAAAATCCGATTTCCCGGATGACCAAGTGCGATTTCGAGGCATTGTACATTACTCACTGGCAATTCACACCAACGTTGATCAATTCGTTTGAGCACCAGTACCTGCCTTAAGAGTCCTTAAGCTTAAGATGACACCCTCGAAAAGAGATTGCCTCCAAAAACCGCAGTCATATCTTGTTGAAGTTGATGTTCTATTTTGATTCTCTAAGCAAAGCGACTAGTAGTGACTAGTACTGACTATACAGATATTGTCAGTAGATGGTTTGAAGTCCAACAAGGTCCAAATATCTCCATCCTCAGCCAATGGCCGAATTTTGACAACCGCCCTAGCCCTCCCTTGCAGGCCTTGGTGCTGCCATGGACACCTGGAGAGCCATGGGATTTCTGGATTTGACGAAGATCGATCGATTCATTTCATCTGAAGGATCTTACCCGGGAGAATCTTACTTGTTGATGGAACAACATGTGGAAATGTCACCAAACAATAACAACAATAACGACGTCTCAGAAGTGAAGTCATCCATAGTAGCGAATCCCGAAGCCACGAGCAGACACTCCAAGCAGTCTGTGACTCAATTCTTTCAGCACCTTGAATTTATTACCTGGCTAATGTGCGGTAAGAAAATGATGTTTAACGGCATGCTTTGGATATGGCTACTTATACCCATGGTCTGAGATTTGGGTTCATGAACAGAATGCAGTGCAAATGTGAACGATTTTCTCCAGCAAGCCTTCCACCGCAACATCCAAATGGACCATGCTTTCCAGCAAACATATCCAATGATTCCCTCTCTCCAGCAATTTCTAGATCACCGGGACCCCACAATTTCTCTCCCCCAAACCAATGCTGGTCCTTTCGATGTCTTTGTGAGCCCCAGGTGCAAGCCGATGCAGAGACTACCCCATGCGCTGAATCTCACAACAGGAAATGTGTGAAATCCTTGGAAAAGATACTGTATCCGTTCAGAACTGAGTTTTGGTGCGTTTTGCCGACATGGTAGAGGCTATAAAACACTGAAACATATTGAAACATCCTGAAACTGTCCAACAGATTGGTCAAAGTTTCAACCTTCCGCATCTATTGCACCACCTCTTTGGGGCCCAAAACGCTGCAGCGGAAAAGTCAGCATGGTGCAAGCAGTGAAGGGCAAAAAATGTACTGTCATGAGGTCGGGATATCATCCAGTCGGGGACATGTCTTTGGTCATGAGTGCTGAATGTGCCAAGGAAAACCTCTCCACACAACTTTATGAAGGCCGATGATTGGAGGAAAAAGTCAAGAAGATGCGCACCAATAGCAATTCGATACTTTTGATGTTATTTCGATGTGTTTCGCACGTCTAATCTGTGCTCAAGCAGAACTGCAACCCTTTGAAGCTGATGCCAGAGCTGCCACACTCAATAAC